ATAATATATCTATTACCCATAATTATCTCGTTACAATTTTCAATATTTATTTTATATTATTTACTAATGTTAAATTCTATTCCGCTTCGATTTCCAAATTGCTTCAAATACGAAAGAATCGACGATTTTTCGTATCTTTTGCCAGCTAAATCGTCAAAGCCATTCTTATTTCACACACTAATTTCATTTGAAAATAGTAGTCAAAGCCAACAAAACAATTTTTGCATTTTTATGCATTTGCAGAGCCATTTTATCGTAAAAATGTCGAACAAATTTTTTTATTAAAGCGTTTATATTTAACTTAGGCATTGGCCTTTCTCTTTTAATGTTTTCTTTTTCATTATATGATCTCAAGCCAAAACTTTTTTAAAATAAATCTTCAATATCGCAATTTCATTCCGAATCACTAGCCACAATAATAGGGCTAAAATTTAAAATAAAATTATAAAACTTACTTGGTGAAATAAAATGTGTGGTGGATATACATACTTTTAAAGAAAATTATAATTAAATATAGCTTTGTAATGAAACGTACATAAAAGTAACATAAAATATTTTTTACTCTTTAAATCGTAACCACTACGTCAAATAGCTCCCTACAAGTGGAATCAAAGACTGTCCTGCTAGGTGTGCGGTGCGTACATGCACGCGGGCTGCCAAATCCCTAGGGTGCCGATACCGGTCAATGTCAAATGTCAAAAGACGCGACAGGGTTCTTGTAAATTTTAAACGTTTCTCCCCATTGCTGTAAAAGTCTAAATATGTTAAACTTAATAGATTGTCTGTCGTTTGTAATATTCCGGCTCTTTCGTCAGGGTTTTGTTTATGTTCCCACTTCCCTAATCGCTTAATTATTTAACTACTACTTAAGTAGAAATAAGTCGAAACCGGTTACTTTGTACTCGAATATTTGTAGTCTCGGGAAAAAATGAAAAGACAATTTTTATGACAAACGAATAAATAAATCGTAAATTAAAAAAAAATAAATTCTAGAGCCTTTTCTGTGCCTCGTGCATCTCTCTCATTCATTAAATTTAGTTGTAAATGACGCTGTCGAAGTAACGATTAATTTTTTAACATTATACAGGAATTGTACACGTTTTTTTCTACATCCCCTTAAAGATGGGATGTACGAAATCGTAATATCACTGGTTTAACATCGAAATCCGTGAGTAATATGAAATCAGAGAGCAGAATAAATATATCAAATATTTTAATGGCTTTTTTTAACTCCTGTCAACTATACAGAACTATCGTAAAAGCATACCAGTAAATTCTTATCGGTTGGGTTAAGTTATAAATCTACTCGTTATTCACGTAATCGAAATATATAGTGGGCAGGCGGCTAACAGCCCAGAACCGGTCCTTGATAGAATTGAGATCGTTATATCTGCAGCTTCCACCCAAGGTCGTTGGCTTCTACCGGCTAAACGGGTGAGGTTGGTGCTCCGTAAAGCGCATGCGTGAATCTGGCTTTTTGGAATCTGAAAATTTCAGAGATTTTACTTTGCCACTAATATTCGAATATACAAAAGCAATTTTTTTTTTCACGTGTAGTATAAAAATTTGTAATAAGATACATAATGCGGTTATAATGAAATATTGTGCGATTATTTTCGTATAATTAAAATTAATATTTATTTATTTTTTTGAAAATACAAGGGAAGCGGCGCTTCCATCGCTTCTAATGACGGCACGCCACTGATTTACGATATAGCATTTTGATGGCTATCACAAATAGTTTCTGTAACTAAAATACCGGGATACAATATGAAGACGTCTGTTAAGTTACTCATATTGTTTGTTGTGATTTCTTGCCTACTTTCATAAAGAAAAATGCTGAATTCTTTCAATTACAAGTTCACCCCTGATCTAAATACTTTTTCACTGTTTAATCACTCGACTGGAATGAATCATAACTTAAAAATAGTGTTAAGATTTAAATAATTTATTCGCTTTTTAAATAATCAAAAGTTTTATGTTTAGTAATTTGAGCAATTTGAATTGATTGTATTTTTATTTCCGTGGTACTTCTCTGTTAACGGGATACGAGTTGTAACTTTAATCCGAAGCGTGATATCATCCCAAGTGCAAGGGACTCGCTATTGCTCGCACCAAAGCGCACGACTACATGCAGAGCATGGAGAACAGGCAATATATTGATACATGTTAAAAACATCTTTTGGAGGCCAATACATTTCGTATCTTGCGAAGGGTCTCATGTACAGGAATGCTTCCTTTAAATTTTTGCTCTTATAGGGATCAATAATTCTGAGGGATGCGAAACCACACATTCAGAGCTTGGATCTTACCCGTTGCTGTACATATCGACTGGTGTCAATAAGAAAAATTATTTAGGCCAAAAGACATCATGAAAAAACATGTGTCTTATGATGTCCGTTTTTTGAAGACGTTTGACTGAATCCTGAAATGACAAACAATAATAATAATTACTTGCAATGCTCGATACTGTTTGAAATGTATTTTCATCTGTTAATTGTAGTCAGCTTGTATTACAATAAGTTATTCGGCTCGATATTACTAATTAGAATTTCATTATCGTAAACATTCGCCACTCTCTATTAAACAAACTGAATTAACTATTTTAAAATAAATATATACGCATAAACAGGAACTATATGATGGAAGTAAGAATAAACTAATCCTTCCTACTTTTAAGTATAGTTTGAATGCGTGAATCACGTCTAAAGTCGAAATAGGACGGAAGATTTTTCTCGTATTTTTTATATATATATATTTTTTTGAATTAAAATTTTACACCCCACTTAATAGTTTTCTAAAGTTTTATTATTTATTATGAATAATTTACGCAAATATTCATTAAATTATGCATAAATTGTGTTGAAATGTATTTGTATTATTAAATGAATGGATGCGTTTTTTATTAACTACATAAAAGTAATTAATTTCTCGCATAAAACAACATAAACACTAATATTTAATACTTTGAGGTTTAACGAAAAATAATTATGCAAACGAATGCGTCATATAAGAAAATACATTAACTACAATAAACATTTTAATCTTACTTTTTCCAGTAAATCGTCGATTACGTCCATTGCATTTATCGACAGATGCAACAAATACTGCACCCGGACGTTTTGAGCGACTGAAAAGACGTTGTTACATTAATCACACGTTTTTTCTTTTTGCCGTTAACAAACTAAAAATAATCATCGCTTACTTTTTATTATCTCCATAAAGGACATATTGTCAATATTCGGAACTTTTTCTAAATACATTTCCATCGGCGTTTTTCCTATTAACATTTGATATAAGAGAATTCCGAATGCCTACGAATCGCAGTAAGCATCTAAGATGAATGCATATTACTGTATTAATAATTACAAGACTTAAACAAAGTGACGTGATTAAATTGGAATAGAACAACTTACCATACGGTTTTCCTCGAAGATTTCCGGACAAACATAGAACAAAGTCCCACAAGATTTATTCGGATTCCGTTCAAACTGAGAGTAAGATAATCGGTTAATGAGAAATCAACACTTGTACGAAAATTAAAATAATATTTTACACACTACTTATTGTGCAGAGACCGAAATCGATCAGTTTCGCTCCTTTCGACTTATGTAGCATGACGTTATTCGACCCGATATCTCTGTGAATGATTCCTGTCGAAGACACAAACAAATTCATTACTCAATTTACATTTGTTAAAGAGACGAATTAATAAATAGATTTTAAAAATTACCTCGATCATGAATATACATTATGGCCGAAGCCACTTGAGCACCGATTATTTTGACTCGGGCTTCTTCGAAGGGTCCGTCATTTTCTAAACTATGAGTTATATCCTGTCCATCCACAAAGTCGGAGACGAAACAGAAACTGAAGAAGACAATTATTATTACATAAAACCATAAAGTATTACTAATAAATCAAATGTAGAGTCAAAATTTACCTGGTATTTGTTTTGAAGAAACATATTAAAGAGACGATGTGGGGATGGCTCGATACGGTTGCCCACGCTTTTCGTTCTTTATTCAATTCGCGCCTCTATAAGTAAAGTCATTTTTTAAGTATATACTAGATACAAATTAAGAATATTCTGTAGACATTTGTAATTAATGTTTATACAACATCGATTTATTTCCGCTTAGAGCATCATCAATAAATGATGTGTGAATGTGATGATTTTTAATATCGAGATTAAACGTTTTATGTACAGAATATGCTTATTAAATTATTTTATATTATATGGACTTGGTTGTCAAATAATTTTCTACTATTATAAAATTAAGAATATGAGAAACAAAGCTGAAAGCACACCTGTGCAAGACAAAAGCGCTTTCTCTCGACGACTTTCAAAGCCACGTTTTGGTCAGAGTTTCTGCAGCGAGCCAAATAAACTGTTCCAAAAGCCCCCTTTCCAATTTCTTGAAATTCATAGTCATTAATAATGTCTTTATTCATTTTTGAAGAATCAACTCCGAATTGAGAATCTTCCGATTGACAATTCTAAAATCACAGAGTCATTTAATGGTAAACTCCGCTAAGTGAAGCATTAAGTGTATACGAAGAACGAGAACTTACCTGCGAATCGGAAATCTCTGCTGTATTACAGTGACAACAACAGAATTTATAGAATACGTTTCTACAGAATTCTATAAATTTTCCTGTTTTCTTTTGCTTCTTGCCATGGAACTGTGAATCCTCCTTTTCTACGGGGAGACACTTTGTTCCATGCAAATTTTCGTCAATCTAAGAAAAGTGAATAATACAAATCAACTACGCTTGAA